GGGAAGGCATCCGAGGAGCGCTGGAGCGTGTGGAGCCGCGACGCCCGGCTCTTCCCCCACTCCTCGCCCAGCAGCTCAGCGCAGGCCTCCAGCAGCTCCGGCCTCTGGTGCAGGGGGACCAGGCTGAGCTCCTCTGACACAGAGCCCATTCTTCTCACTGACGGGAGACCAAGCAGGCCACAGCTTAGAGGCGGTGGGGGACAGATGGTGTGTGTCCCCCGGCCCAGGACCAGCCCCAGCCCTCACGTGGCTCCCCAGGATCAGGGGCGGGTGGGTTCACAGGGGTTAGCAGCGGGTCCAAGGTTGAATGACGACACCATGGCAGGGAAGCGGCGTGTGGTGTTGGCTCCAGGCACCTGTGCTGTGAGACCTGCAGGCAGGTCTGACACTGCCAAGCTGGCGGAGGAGCAGGGCACACAGGGCTGGCCTTGCCCCCTCCCCAGCCTTGCCACCAGCTCCTGCCACTTGGGCACCTGCCTGAGACCAGCCAGCTCATCACACGTGCCCCTGGCCTGCAAGAGAGGGCTGCAGCGCCATGGAGCTGAGCAGACACAGGCCATGCTGCACCAGTACAGCAGCTCAGGGGGCCATGCTGGCCTCCATGGAGCCAGGAACCCCCTGCCACAACCGGTGAGCAGCAGGGACCCCTCTCCCAGCCCAGCATCCATTCCACTTGCAAAGAAGAAGCCGCAGGCAGCAGGCGGGAGGAACTGCTGCACTGGCTTATCAGCTGGCGTTGAGCAAACTGCCCCACTTCCCGCTCTGGCGGGTGGAGGGCCTGGCCCTGCCCCCCACACCCTCAGAGCGCTCCCCAAAGCCACCCCACCAGCTCCAAGACCCCTGACTCCCAGCCCAGCCTGTACTCCCCCCTTTGGAAGCCAGGCAGTGCCCCAAGGCACTGCCAGCACCCCCAGACTGGTGACGCTTTTCTTTCTGTCTCCCCAGCAAACCCACGCCGGGACCCTGCTAGCATCCTTGCACTCAGGTCCTGAGTGGAGGGGGAAGCCCCCCCAGTGCCTGCCTTCCTGCCTGCGGTGCCCCACCAAGCTTTGTCCAGCCTGGTGCCCAGTTTCTCCCCTGTGCCTGCCCCTCTTCAGCCCCTGCCCAGGGCCACGGGGCTGCCCACCCTGCCTGTGCTCACCCTGCCAGCCGCTCGTCCTGCCCGCTGCTCCCACCGCTCACACTCACCCTGCCTGCTGCTGCCGGCTCCCGCGCCCTGGGTGCCTGCAGGAAGCTGCCCAGGCTCGTGGCCAACCGCAGTGCCTGGTTCTGCTTCCCCAGCGTGAATGACACGTCTGTCCTGGGCCCCAAACGTCCCCCGCCTCCACAGCACCCAGACCAGCCACACCCTTGCACAGAGCACCCGCCCTGCGCTGACCCACAAACAGCACCCCAAACCAGAGTGCAGCCCCACACAGGGCACCCAACCCTGCCTGCTGCCCATCACCCCAAAACACACTGCACCCACACGTGGCACACAAAATGGAATGACACCACTGACCTGGTCACTGCCTCACCCAACAGCTGCACCTCCTGAACACATGGCCCCCACTCCACCCCTGACCCCATCACTGACCCACCATGGACCTGTCACTGACCCATCATTGACCCACCACTGACCCACCACCATTGACCCACCATTGACCCGTCACTGACTCATCAATGATCCATCATGGACCCATCATTGACCCACCACTGGCCCACCCCTGACCCACCATGGACTCGTCACTGACCCATCACTGACCTGCCATTGACCCATCACTGGTCCACCACTGAACCAACATGGACCCGTCATTGACCCATCATGGACCCATCACGGACCCGTCAGTGGCCCACCACTGACCCATCACTGACCCACCATTGACCCATCACGGACCCATCACGGACCCATCACTGACCCATCACAGACCCATCACGGACCCGTCAGTGGCCCACCACTGACCCATCATGGACCCATCATTGACCCACCAGTGACCCGTCACTGACCCATCACTGACCTGTCATTGACCCACCACTGACCCATCACGGACCCATCACTGACCCGTCACTGACCCATCATTGACCCACCAGTGACCCGTCACGGACCCACCACGGACCCGTCACGGACCCATCGTTGACCCACCAGTGACCCGTCACGGGCCCGTCACGGACCCGGCCCCGGCCCTCTCTCCCCCACCCCTTTCCCTCCTCCTGCCCCGCTCCCCGGCCCGGCCCGCCCGTACCGTCCCGCCGGCCCCGCCGCCGCCGCCCCTTCCGCTCTCGGGCGTCAGTTCC